ACGATATTAAGCTATAAAAGACAGTTATGAAGGGAATTGTTTAGTTCTGTAATTTTCAACCGGTGTGCTGCAAGTATTTTTAAAACATGCAATACCTGACTACTTAGGCCCTGACCTCTTTTTCCTTAGATTGTCAAATAAAATAATGACAACAGCCAACACAGCAATAGCTATCTGCTGTAAATAAATCACAATTCTACCTATTTTTTATTTTTGTCAGATTGGCAAAAAAAATTTTTTTTTGGTGTGTGGCAGAATTTTAGTAATTAGTTTATTATTGTGTACAATGAGATGAAAAACGTTGAAAATTGCTGGTCGAGTTGCATGAAAAGCCCTACAGGAAATCAGTTGAGGATAACTTGAGAAAGTCCTCAATGATTTGAAATGTATGCAAAGAACATGTGAGAAATTTTGTGCATAAGAGCTCTGGTTTGTGCCTCAGACTTTCTCAGTTCATGGTGGCACTCAGATTGGCCCCTGAATTTTGTATTTGGGGGCAGGCTCTTGCTTCATTCTTGGAGAGACCAATGGGGGAGAATTTTCAGTCGTAAGGATGACTGAAAACCAGGTGAATAACCCAGATATAAAGGCTTAAGATTAGGGGAATTGGGTATTTATTAAGATAAAGGGTTGGCTCTGTGGCAGATAGATTGCAATCCTGAAGAAATACGTATGTTTGTGATTTTTCTTTATTAGGTAGGACCTGGTCTTAGGGAATATATCAGTCAGGGTTCTCCAGAGAAACAGAATCAATATTGTGTGTGTGTGTGTGTGTGTGTGTGTGTGTGCACGCGCGCGCGTGTATTCTGCAGAGCCAATGTTCCAGTTGGAGTCTTAAAGCTGGAAGCTGCTGTAGAATGAGGAAGAGATGATGTTCCGGTTCCGTGGCCACCAGGCAGGAAGAGCTGATGTTCCGGTTTGAGGGCTGTCAGGCAGGAGAACTCCCTTTTACTCAGGGGAGGGTTAGCCTTGTGTTCTCTTCAGGCCTTCAAATAATTGGGTGAGGCCCACCCATATCATGGAGGGCAATCTGCTTTACAAAGGCTACTGATTTAAAGGTTAACCTCATCCAAAACACTCTCACAAAAACACTCAGAATAATGTTTGACCAAATATCTGGGCACCCTGTAGCCCAGTCAAATTGACACATAAAATTAACCATCACAGGGAGTGAAAGATGTGCATAACTAGATTTCCATCCAGGATGGCGAACAGGCCCCAGAAACATGGAGGCAGTTTGGACTTATGGAGGGAGAGAATCATAGCCTGCACCAGGCATAGCCAGTGGATTCCATGACAATAGCACTTGAGATTCCGTTTGTTTTTCTTTTCTATTCTGCATTTTCCATGTGTTATCTTTTCTTTAAGCTTTAGTATTATAGGTTGAATTATGTCCCCCTAAAAAAGATATGTTGAGTCCTAACATTTAGTATCTCAGAATGTCACTTTACTTAGAGATAGGGTCTGTAACAGAAGTAATCAAGTTAAAATTACATCATTAGGGTGGACCCTAATCCAGTACACTTGTGTTCTTGTAAGAGGAGCAATTTGCACCCAGAGACATGCATAAAGGAAAGACAACATTAACAGACACAGAAAGAATATTGCCGTGTACAAGTTAAGGAGAAAAGCCCGGAACAGATTCTCCCCTCATAGTTCACAAAAAGAACAACCCTGCCAACACCTTGAGTTCAGATTTCTAGATTCCAGAACTTTCAGACAATAATTTTTTGTTGTTTAAGCCACTGAGTTTGTGGTGCTTTGTTATGGCAGCCCTAGGATAATACAATAGCCTGTGTTAACTCTACTTGGAAGAATGAAGGAAGGATTTGATGCCCAGAGAGAGCAAGAAGCTCCAGGGTGGGGGTGGGGGGCGGCAGCATGGAGGGGAGGTCAAGAGATGGCAGAGCAATTAAGGAAGAAGCCTGAATTGGTGAGTAGTGGTCTCAGATGAATCTCAAATGAGGTATTGAGGACAACAGTACTTAGTATACAAAAAAATACTATGAATAAGGGTAGCTATCATGACTGTTGACAATATCATCACCAAAAAAAAAAAAGTACTAGTCACCTACTGGAAAAACTACGGACACAACTAGTTCATAATGGTCATTCCTGTGATCATCAGCTGAGAAGCATTAATAGAGTTAATATTAACTTTTAAAATGTTAAAAATTAAAAAGTTTGTATTAACACGGACAATGTTGACAAGCAAAGGGTATATATTAACTTTGACAATGTTAAAAATTAAAGGCATAATCTTTAACTACAACAGCTGTAACACTCAATAGAGGATGTATGGGAGCCACAGCGACTACAGCAGCAGGTCTTGCAAATGCCTCTTTGTCTGAATGCTACCACACAGCATGTGAGCACACAGTTTCCTGAGCTACCCTTTCCACTGAAAGGCTGCCCTAGACGTAGATAAAGAGCACCATAAGGCCATATGAGTGGAAAAGAGAAAGGGTGACTAGAAGAAAGAAAGGATGGAAAGAGAAAGGGAGGGAGGAAGGGAGAGACATAGGACTTTTTCCAAGTTCCAATCCATTTGAAACAATCAGATTTGGTTTCAGATAATACTGGATATTTCTAAAGTAGATCTTTGAGATATTTGACAAATTATCATTGTGGTTAAATTATTAATATGGAATAAAAATGTTATTTAACATAATCTACAAAAATTAATGCTTCTTTTGTGTCCTCATTTCATGGTTTGCTTCTAAAATCTTTGAAGCAGCATCTAATTTCAGAAAATGGAATGCAGATTCCTTGGAGGTCTAAGAAGTAGGTAGAAGGGAGAGCAATTTGATGACAATATCTTGACATCTTTAATACTGAGTAAAAACAACTATTCCTTTATTCTTCCATTTTAAAGAATGGCTGTTATTAATTTTCTTTGCTTGGCTCCTTACTAATTATAATTTTTAGGGCTATGTGCATGACTTGAATTCTATTACATATCAAATGACTTCTCACATATCTAAGTTTGGAATCTTTTTCTTGTAATAAACATAAATCACCCTCCCCCAGAAGAGTGATGCAGTAACAATGTCTAAATAGTCAAAATGAATGCCATTGTCCTTCTTCTTTATTGAGGAATAACTTCTGATGCTTCTAGTTCCAGGTACAGCTAGGGATGAATGTGAGGATGCATAACCGGCAATAGGTTTCCTGGGGCAGAGGATGGGAGGATGTGTTGAGTATCCTTCTACCTTAGGGATCTCTTAGTATATGTACAAAAAAAAGTACTTGATGTGGTTTTTAAGGAAATGTTAGATAGATTTTTCCTGGCTTGGGTTGGTCCATATATAGGCTATTCTGTTTTAATGTCTCTAAACATTCTGCAAAAGAGTCTGATGTACACTCTATTCTGAAGTCATTTTTGTAAAGAAGGCCTAAATGAAATGAATGGTTGTGGCAATAACTTTGGGGAGGTCTGAACCAATTCTGATGGAATGCATCTTCCAGGAAAATCCCAGGACTTTGGGGGATGCTTGGTTCTGGTTTCACTGCAAATCATGACAGACTTGGGTAGACTTAATACAAGTGGACATGATTATGCAGCGCAGTTCTACATCATTAGTGGGAGTAAATGCCTCTGCCTGAGTCCTGCCAACTCTGTTTCTAGCCAGACATCCATTAGTAAACACTGCAGTCTTAAAATATTGGTCGGCTTCTGTGGCTGGCTTTTCTGCATAATGGAAACAAGGTCCAGATTTTTTAAAGTATCAACATAGGTAAGCATCAAATGCTGTTCTCTAAGAGATAAAGTTAGAAATTTGGGGTATCCAGAGCAGAATTTGGATAAAGCTCTGTTTAATTTCTTTGTTTTTTACTTAAAATATACTTAATTGAAAATATAAACATACTTCCTGTTTTGTGATAAAGTCAATTAAGGAGGTAACGCTCTAGTTTTAACTCTGCCTTGCTCAGTTTCCACTTGACTTTCTTCATAGAAATCAGCAAAAATTGAAACATCTTTTTTCGACCTGAGCAGTTGATCATGCCAAGTGGGTATTTCTAACAAGCTGAGAAGATGAGTTGAAATGCACATGATAAATAATTGTAGTATTTCACACATTTCTAAAAATAACAATTCCTTTGGTTAGCTTACCCTTCACAGTAAAAACATGCCACCCACTGTGTGTTCTCTTTTTTTGATCCTTGACAGCCCTAGGAGGTAAAAAGGGTAGGCAAATATCTGCCTTTTACAAGTGAGAAAATAGCTCTGAGAGATTAAGAACTTGGCCAAAGTCACAAGTAAATGAGGCTGCTTTCAAGACCAACCTGAAGGTCGTGAGAGTATTTTCTTAGTGTTCCTTGCAGAAGGAAGAGAAACTGCCAGTTAGATGGGAGGAGTCCAACTCTGTCCTTTGGTCTCATGTGGCTCTGGGCTCCCCAGGCTTGCTAGAACCTTGTAGTGATAACTTATCTAGAAAGATTTACTTTCCCAATAAAGATTAAAAAAAAAATATATATATATACTTGCCCAGTTGATGTGGCTCAGTGGTTGAGCATCGACCCATGCACCAAGAAGTTGCTGGTTTGGTTCCTGGTCAGGGCACACGTCTAGGATGTGGACCCGATCCCCAGTGGGGGGCATGCAGGAGGTGGCCAATCGATGTTCTCTCCCATGGACGTTTCTATCTCTCTCTCCCTCTCCCTTCCTCTCTCTTTAAAATCAATAAAGAAAAAAAAATGTAAAAAGACATACTTTCCACATGCAGGTAGTAAGAAATCACAAAATTTTATCAGAAAACCAATGTGATAAGAAGTATTTGAGGCTATTTTATAAACAGTAGTACTTGGTATGGTTACAAAAATAAACTACATTGCCCTCTTAAATGAGGAACAATAAATAAACAGGGGTGATAAATTGCAGAGATCAGCTTAGAAGCAATGACACACTTGGTAGGCACTTGTAAATAATAAGATAATAAACTTGTTGAGTCTCCTTCCCTGGAAGAACCCTGTGAACCTTCACATGTTCTCTTTTACAGTCATCACAACAGCCCTATGAGAAGATGAGAATTATCTTCCCATCTCACCTGTGGAAAAGCTGAGGGTTCAGAGACCAATGGATTGATCCAACATCACATAGTGAGTCATCCAGAGAGACTAACCCAAGGGTTAATTTCTCCTCGATGATTTGATTGTCACAAGTAAGTGACTTGTCCGAGAGTATCAAAGGAAAATATTTGGAGAATGAGAACATATTTGGAAAGATTGATGGCATGCTCATCAAATATGCAGGTGACTAGACCTGAGCGATTGTGGTAGCTCTGCCCCTAATGAATTATGAGATTTCTGTAAGTTCCTTAACCAGACTGGGCCTCAATATCCTTCTTGGAGAAATAAAACAGTTGAACTAGATCAGGGGTTTTCAAACATTCTTCTTTTTTTTTCTAAAGAAGGTCTTAATGTTTTAAACATTTATTTAAAGTACATTGTAATGCTATACATTTAATTGATAAAAGATGAGCTGCATACAATTCCAACTTCCTGCTTGGCTCTTCCCACCACCTACTGGATTCCCTGGACACAGTGAGAAAACACAGTATTAGGTAATCTGAAAACTCCATCTTATTCTAAAATTCAATGTTTTTATGACTGGAAGAAACTTTTTCTTTTAAATCCTTACCCGAGGATACTTTTTTCCATTTTTATCTTCAAATAGAGTGGGGGAGAAAGAAATAGAGAGAGAGTGAGCGAGAGAGAAACATCGACATGAGAGAGACACATGGATTGGTTGCCTCCTGCACAACCCCAACCAGGGCTGGGGACTGAACCACAACCGAAGTATGTGCCCATGATGGAATCAAACCTGAAACTCTTTGGTCCATGGGCCAATGCTCTACCACTGAGCCAAATCGGCCAGGGCAGTTTTTGGTTTTCATTAAAAGAAAAAAAAAATCCTCATCTAAGGATGTTTTTCTTAATTTTTTATTATTTAATTATTTTTAAAATTAATTATTGTTACTGATACCCCCTCCCCTCCCTCCCCCTCCCCCCGCCCTGTCCCCAGCTTTGTTGTCTATGTCCATTTAAAAAATTTTTTTTATCCTCACCCGAGGACATTTTTCTATTTTTTGTTCGGGTAGAGTGGGAGGGAAAGAGAGGAAGAGAGAGAAAAACATCGATGTGAAAAGGACACATTGAGTGGCTGCCATCCGCATGACCAACCAAGGCTGGGGACAAACTGCAACCGAGGTACATGCCCTTAGTGGGAACTGAACCCGGGTCTCTCGGGATTGCAGGCCGATGCTCTAACCGCTGAGCCAAACCGGCCAGGGCCATGTCCATTGTTTATGCATACATGCATATAAGTTCTGTGGTTTATCTTTCCCCCATCACCCCCTGTTCTGGGGATTGTCAGTCTGTACCCCATTCCTCAGACTGTTATGTTCATTATAGTCCTCAAATAAGTGAGATCATGTGATATTTGTCTTTCTCTGCTTGGCTTGTTTCACTTAGGATAATACTCTCCAGGTCCCCCATGATGTCTCAAAGGATAAGAGATCTTTCTTTTTTACAGCTGCATAGTACTCCATTGTGTATATATACCACAGCTTTTTGTATCCATTTGTCTACTGATGGACACTTGGGCTGTTTCCAGATCTTAGCTATAGTAAATAGTGCTGCTATGAACATGGGGGTACATATATTCTTTCTGATTGGTGTTTCAGGCTTCTTAGGGTATATTCCTAGAAGTGGGATCACTGGGTCAAATGGCAGTTTAATTTTTTGAGGTAACACCATATTGTTTTCCATAGTGGCTGCAGTGTATTAGGGTCCCCTTTTCTCCACAACCTCGCCAACACTTGAAGAACAGGCAGATAGATCAATGGAACAGAATAGAGAACCCAGAAATGGACCCAAGACAATATGCTCAATTAATATTTGACAAAGTGGGAAAGAGCATACAGTGGAGTAAAGACAGCCTCTTTAATAAATGGTGTTGGGAAAATTGGACAGCTACATGCAAAAAAATTGAAACTAGACCATCAATTTACACCATACACAAGAATAAACTCAAAATGGATAAAAGACTTAAATGTGACTCATGAATCCATAAAAATCCTAGAAGAAAATGATTTTTTTTTTTTATTTAGAGAGAGAGAGGGAGAGAGAAACATCAATCAGTTGCCTCTCAGACCAACCCAACCAGGAATCAAACCAGCAACTGAGGTTATGTGCCCTGACCCAGAACTGAACCTGCTAACTTTTGGTGTACGGGATGATGCTTCTACCAAGCCACCTGGCCAGGGCAGGAGCAACTAGCCTTTTAGTCTGCTACCTGTTCATATCCCCTACACCACCTTATAAAATAGCTCCAGACTTGGAGTCAGGGGAGCTGGGTGTGGATCCCTTCTCTACCAACCAGTTATCTACATCACCTTAATCAAGTTGCTTCACCTCTCTAAGTCTCTGTTTCCTCATCTGTAAAATGAAAACAGTAGCTCTTCCCAGGTAAGAGTACTCTGTAAACTGTAAAAGACTGAATAACGTATAGTGCCATTAGTATTATCTCCTGTGCACAACACCCTTCCACAGGGAGGTGGCTTTATCCTCAGAATGATACGGAGTAGCAACATGGGTTGAGCTGCTCTCTGGCAAGTTCACCAAAGAGTAGAAGTGGTCTATCATATTCTGGTTTATTTTCCTTGTGAGCTGAAAGCCCAAATCAGTAGTGAGGGTGTGAGCTATCAACACAGCAAATGATTAAACCAAGGAGGCACCATTGTTAAGTTCAAAGGGAAGAATTACCCCCATAATCTGACCTAGATAATAATGACCCAATATATTCCCCCTCACACAAAGCTGTGACCCAGTAATAATTACTGTCATTAACTGATTGCTTATTATATGGTAGGCACTGTTTTTACATGAGTTATCTCATTCAATTTTCACAGGAACCCTTTGCAACGGTTCCCTATTTTATAGTGAAAAATAATCAATAAAATAGGGTGTTGTTCCTATTTTGTCGCTTAGAAAGGCTAAGTAAATTGCTCAGGTTTATACAACTGGCAAATGGCAGAGCCTAGACTCAGAATTCAAAACTCTGAACTGCTCAGCTCTGCATCTCCCAGTGTGAAGAAATGATTTTCCTCACTCAGTGTGAGGGTCAAGAACCCCCAATCCTCTTCATTGTTGCAGGCCCTTAATCAGCTCCATCTCCCCACTTTTATTTCTGCCTCCATTCAAAAGTGGTTCATTTATCTTCATAAAACTCAGAGGTGGAAGGCGCCCATTAGTCATTAATGTCCCCTGTCTCCTGCTTGTCCTCTATAGCATGTTTTCTGTGTGGGGGTTAGGGAATGGAGCCCCAGCTCTTCCCTCGGGGAGTTAGTCCTGCAACTAATTCATCTCTGTCAGGAACACTTATCCTCCTCTTCAGTTTTGCATTTTACCCATTTCTCTCTGTGGGATGCACGTCTCAGCTCTTCCGAATACATTGCCTAAGCCTGCCCAGCAGTGACGTTGCTGAGCTGTCTCTTCCCCTCACTCAGCTTTCTTATAGCACCTGGCAGATGCTTTCCCCAGTGGACAGAGGTAGAGGTGAGCTGCAGCGGAATGCTGGGAAAGAAAGTGAGGAGGAAGAGATTCAGCGAACACCGGGCTTGAAACCTGCTTAGTCAGCAAACCTTGGACCCAGGTGGCCTTGGACACTCCACTTAGGTGGCCCCTCCACATTCCATTAGGATGCTATGCCACGCCCTAAACTTGGTGCCAGAGATCACAAAAATAAACGGAGTGTATCATCTCAAGGAAGACAGTGTGGTGTAGTGGAAAGCATGTCAGTTTTGGGATTCAAGAAATCTAGTTTAAGTCATGGCTCTACTTTCTACATAGCTATGCGGTTCTGGCAAGTCATTTAGCCCCCTGATCTTCAGCTTACTCGTTTGTAAAATGGGGAAACAATGCCTATGTAAGTTGTTTCTATAAGAGTTATAGACAATGGCCTGGCACATAGTTGGCACTTAATCAATGAGAGTTCTTATTTTTCAAAGCCCTAAATCTAACCCATTTGCCCTAACCAATTCCTCATAATTCTATATTTTACTTGGAGTCTGTAGGCAACTGTCCTCACCTCTTACCCTTCCATTTTCACTGTGCTGCGAACCAGCCTAGAGCGCTCTGATACACTGGTTTCACCTCTAGCAGCAGCAGTTCCACACAGTTCACCACTGCCTAGAAAGCAGAACTCAAATATTAGCTGTCAGAACTGAATCAACATTGTTTGCTTTCCAATTCTCACTTTGACATGACCCTCACCATTGACATGCTGAAATGGATACAGATACCATTTGCCATGTTTGTTATATGCTCTATATGTTGACAATTTTTCGGTTGTATCAAAGAACCATTTCATGTGCACAGGTTTTAGCAATAGTATTGTAATATGCAAGCAGAACCCAACCTGAACAAAATATTTCATCAAAATACTCTTTCCAAATGAATGCATGTGACCATTCTCAGCCCAGGGGAAACTAACTACTTCTCTCTTAGGCAAGTGAAATCTACTCAGCTAACAAATATTGAGAGCCCTGGCAAGTTTTGCTCAGTGGTTAGAGCGTGGGCCTGCAGACCAAGGAATCCTGGGTTTGATTTCTGCCAAGGGCATTTACCTCAGTTGCAGTTCAGCCCCGTCAAGGTTGGAGTCGTGCGGGTGGCAACCAATCAATGTGTCTCTCTCACATCGATATTTCTCTCTCTCTCTCTCTCTCTCTCTCTCTCTCTCCCCCTCCCTCCCTCCCACTCTGTCTGAAGATAAAATGTAAAGGTATCCTTGGGTGAGAATTAAACAAACAAACAAAAACAAAATTGAGAGTCTACAATGTAAGTACTGTGATACACGGGTTGCCGTGGCAGACATAGGGTCATCAAAACAAACCCCAGTCTCATGGAGCTCACATTGTAGTGGGAAACATACAATAAACAAACACATAAGTAAAGAAAATTAATTTGAGATAGTGATGCTTGCAAAGAAGAAAACAAAGTGACTAGGCTATTTTATTTATTTATATATTTATTTTTATCGTAAAAAATCAAAGTAATAGATGCACATAGTTAAAAAAAATCAAATGCCAAAATAAATCTGATGAATGGGGGGGGGGCTTCTCTGAGGAGCTAATAACTGAGTTGAGATCTGAATTATGAGGAGATAGCTATACGAAGGTTTGGGGAGCCCTGGCTGGTTTGGCTCAGGGGTTAGAGCATCAACCTGCGGTCCAGAGAGATTGGGGTTCGGTTCCCACTAAGGGCACGTACCTCGGTTGCAGTTTGTCCCCGGCTTTGGTTGGGTCATGTGGGAGGCAGCCACTCGATGTGTCCCTTTCATGTTGATGTTTCTCTCTCTCTCTCCAACTTTATCTGAACAAAAAATAAAAAAATGTCCTTGGGTGAGGATAAAAAAAAAGAAGGCTTGGGGAAAAGCATATCAGGCAGAGGGAACAGCAACCCGATGGCACTGAGTGCAAAGGAGCTTGGTGTACAGGTTCATAGGACAACTGGAAAGGACAATGTGTTTGGAGTGAATTGAACAAAGGGCTGAGAAGCAGGAGTTGAGACTGGAGAGGTAGGCAGAGGCCAGATCATGTAGGATCTTACAAGGTAGGATAAGACTATTGGCTGTGTTCTAGTTATAGGGGAAGGCCATGGGCAGGGTTGAAATAAGAAGAAAGAGATATGGACTGATTAGTGTTTTTAACGAATGATTCTATTTTCTGGCTAGAGGATGGACTAAAGAAGAGAAAGAGTGAAAACAATCAGGAGGCTTTTATGGTAGTCCAGATGAGCAATGATGGTGGCTTGGAGTAGGATGGTAATGATAATGACAGTGAAGTTCAGGATTTACTTTAGAAGAATTTGTTTGGAACTTCCAAAATTTGTTGATAAATTGGATTTTGGGAGTGAGGTAAAGCAGAACCTAGAACGAGTCCTGTGTTTGGTCTTGAACTCATGTGCATAGGGTGGCACCATTCCCCAAGCTAGGCAAGACTGGAGGCAGAACATGTTTTGGGGATTTGGGTTTTCATTTGGTTATAAGTATGATGGACCTATGAGACAGTCATGGAGATGTCTAAAAGGCAAACTTGCTTGGCTATTAAAGGATGCTCCAATTCTCCCTCTCCTAATGCACAATCAGCTGGCTGGCTAGGTTAGAGATCTACAAGAAAATGGGGCAGGCACGTGCCAGCCCCAGATGCCTTTGTAACCAATTTGTAGCTTTTCCTAAGAGCTGATTTAGGGCCTCAGGGGAGCATGGTGGGTATTCCTTGGACACCTCTATACATTCTAAGATGTGTCTGAATACCTGTGGTTAGTAGAGGAAGTAACTTTCCAGAACAGAGCTATATTTGGCAAAACAAACAAACAAAACAAACCATTTCCAAGTACATTTTCCACTTGGCATGCAGATAGCCTATTCCATGGCATGAAGATATAGTACAATCTAGTTGTAGAATGTTTCTTAGACATAGACAAACTGCAGAGAAAAAGTTTTATTTTTCTCCCCCTTCAGATTCATAGATTTATAGCTTTTCGTATTGGGAGGATCACAAAGAAAATGGTTTTACCCTCTGATCTCAGGCATGCAAGGTGTCGAGGTAGCGCACACCCAGAAGAATTACACCACTTTCTGTAACAGAGTCCTCAGCCTTTGAGAACTGGGCCTTTTCTTCAACGTTCTTAACTTTACAAACTCAGGTCTTCAAACCTGCTTTCAGTTAAAACATTAAGTGTAAATGAAATAAATTCAATATACACAAAGAATTAAAATAATTTATAACAATCAGGATGCTTTCTCATATGCAAATTGTGCTTTGAAAGTGAAAACCACCCTCCCTATCTTCCCCCATGTTTAAATATCTCCCCTGTGAGACTATTTTGCTTTTCTAACACAAAGTTCTTAAATGAATTTCTAGCCTATCATATCTACATAAGAAGGACTGGAATTAACATGGTTTTTGATGCTGCTTCATAGCCTGGCCTTTTCAGCCTATCAGACTCCTTTCTAATGGCCTTCTCATTATCCAGACTCATTCCTGCAACCGTCCTCTTACTGGTTGATGGGTCTATTACCTCTTTGGAAGCTCTCCTGAGCTAAGGTTATCACCAGGTCTCTCCTAAGCTATAAATCCCACCTCCACCCCCACTCCCACCCTAGTCTAGTTTCAAGACCACCTCGCCCAACTGTAATACTGACACATGGATATAGGGAAACCAAGGAAGTAGGGTTTTTTTTTTTTTGAAAGCCAAAGCAGCAGCCACATCCTATAACAAACTGAAAAATAATCACCATTGTCTACATTCAGACCAATATCACATATTAAAAATGAGGGGGCATTAATTTCAACAACAACTTGCTAATATATTCCACCCTTTCCCGTCATGGCCTATCTTTCCCATTCTGCACCAAAGGCCTGAAGGTTCTGTTTGCTGGGCCTTTCCAGGTAACATTAGCGCTTGTGTTCTGCACAAAAACTAGTTCAACTCAGCTTGTGTTCTCTGAAAAATTGAGCTCAACTCAGGTCAATTATTTCTTGCATTTGTACAAGACAACCTTATTCTTACAACTAGGCTTGCTTATCAAGAACCTTTGAAGACTCTCCCTTCTCAGCATCACTAATGCAGAAAAAAAGATTGGAGGTACAGACTGTGCATTTCTTTTTCTTAGTTCCTTCAGTCAAAATTAAGAATTGAACTCACCAGAAAAGAATGCTCTCCTTGTAGTTTAAATTGCCAATTTCAGAGCAATAATACACCAGATCCCCTTAAATATTGTGATCTATTTACTCTTTTCTCTACTTCCTCAACCAAAAGAGTCTCTATACTTCCTAACAAAATAACATCTACCTCAACACTAATATAGAAACCCACTATAATCTTCAATCTACCTTATGACCACTTGTTCCTTTTGGTCTTCCCCTGGGGCTTCTACGTGGTTTTTTATTTTTATTTTTATTTTTTTTTGTTTATTTTTTTTATCCTCACCGAGGACATTTTTTTTATATATATATATTTTGTTCAGATAGAGTGGGAGGGAAAGAGAGAGAGAGAGAAACATCGACGTGAAAGGGACACATCGAGTAGTTGCCACCCACACGACCAACCAGGGCCGGGGACAAACTGCAACCGAGGTACGTGCCCTTAGCGGGAACCGAACCTGGGTCTCTCCGGACCGCAGGCCGACGCTCTAACCGCTGAGCCAAACCGGCCAGGGCGTACGTGGTTTTTTAAAAAACAATTTTACCTTGCAACTGGAAAATTTAAAGATAGATTTAACTTTTTAACTGACTATGTATATCAATAATCACTTGAAAAGCTGAAGTACACTTACTAAATTTCTTTTTGCTTCTTTCCCTCCTCTCTCTCTCTCTTTTTTTCGTTTTAGACAGGTAAGATTTGGCAATGTGCAGAAGAAAATAGAGACTGATTGGCATAGCCTTTGGAGACAGGTACACCTGGTTTTGTGGTATCAGTCTAGTTATTCAATCTTTCAGAGTTTGATTCCTGGAAATGGTAACACACTTTCTCTCTGTCTTAGGGAATGTCATGAAGACCAAAGGAGGTGTGGAAAACCTTGAGCCCAATGCCTGACAGACTGATTATACAAGTAAAGTTTGTATGTTCTAAGTTCCTATGGGATGTAGGAGTTGGGTACTATTCACAGAAACTACCGTTTCCTCCAATTTTCCTGGTAATAAGAATTTCTTTTTTTTTTTTTTTTTATCCTCACCCGAGGACATTTTTCCATTTTTTGTTCAGGTAGAGTGGGAGGGAAAGAGAGGAACAGAGAGAGAGAGAGAGAAACATCGATGTGAAAGGAACACATCGAGTGGCTGCCACCCGCACAACCGACCAGGGCCGGGGACAAACTGCAACCGAGGTACGCGCCCTTAGCGGGAACCGAACCCGGGTCTCTCAGGACCGCAGGCCGACACTCTAACCGCTGAGCCAAACCGGCCAGGGCAAGAATTTCTTATACATTGGATAAAAATACATTTTCCTTGGTCTCATCCCAGGCCTGAGGAATCAAAAAAAAAAGAAAAGAAAAGAATAAAAAGTCATTTAGGTTCGAGGAAGAAGGCTTGGGTGCTAAGAAATTTTATTTTAAATTAACATTCCTTGTGATTTGTACCATCAGAAGACCTATAGAAATACTGATATAGCCCTGGTCGGTTTGGCTCAGCAGTAGAGTGTTGGCCTGCAGACCAAAGAGTCATGGGTTCGATTCTGGTCAAGGGCACATACCTTGGTTGTAGTTCAGTCCCTGACCCTGTTTAGGGTCATGTGGGAGGCAACCAATCGATGTGTCTCTCTCACGTTGATGTTTCTCTCTCTGTCTCTCACTCTATCTGAAGATAAATGGAAAAAAGTATCCTTGATGAGGATTAGGAAAAAAAAAAAGAAACACTGATATAGACTTTCAATATCTATTATATTCTGTAATTATAAGCAACATTCAAAATAAAATAACATTGCTTTTAATAGTTTAATTTTTTAATGTGTGGAGCTTCATTAGGCTCCTACTTAAATTATACAGCTGAGTATTTTAACTGAAATTTACACCAAACATTTCAACATTCAGTCCATTTTTTTCTCTGTAGGTTCCACAAAAACAGCCAAACTTCATTCTCATTAGTGAATAAAAATGGTATCACTTGGCTTTAACTTTTTTTTTTCTCTTTTGATTATAGAGAGAGAGGAAGGGAAAGGGAGAGAGAGATAGAAACAATGGTAAGAGAGAACATCTGTTGGTTGCCTCCTACATGCTCCCCACTGGGGATTTGGTCCACAATCTGGGCATGTGCCCTGATCGGGAATCAAACTGGCGACCTCTTGGTGCATGGTTCGGCACTCAACCATTGAGCCACACCAGCCAGGTGGCTTTAACTTACTTAGTATCAGCAGAATAAGAGCCAAGAATACTGTAAAGTACTTTGGTAATGTATAGCACTACAAACATGTTTGGCATAATAATTGTTAACTGTTAAAATTATAATAATGGACTACACCTACAAGACTTGACTTGTGAACTAACCAGTCAGTTGCATTTTAATATGCTTTTAGCAAATCTCTCTACATGAAATAGCACAACCATCCCTTCTTGCTTGAATCTAAATTGCTTTTTATTTTTTCCTTTTTTTTGGTTGGCTTCTAGAAAAATTCACATTTTAGGTTATGTTTTGCAATGTGTTTAGATACCTTTGTATTTTTAAGTGTTTGGCATCTAGATATACCTTTAATATTTCATTAAAAAATGACATTGTCGATGGTGGTTATTCTCTCTTTGTGTTGTATGTGGCAGGGACCCAGAGGAGAGTGAAAAATGAAGAGGAAAGGATGGGAGAATTGTTGGATCAATTAATATAACAGAAGCAGCTCCTTCTGATTGAACGACTGTTCAACAAGGGACATTTACTAAGCTCCTACTAGAAGCCAGCTACCATTCTAACTCCTGAACATAGTTCCTAACTACTCTGTTGGTTCACTGGTTTGTTTTGTCTCTGAGCCCTGTGACCAGCTAGAGGCATGGCAATTGGTGGTGACCGGTAGATATTTTTCTGTTCAAAAGAACCAGCTGTTCTTGTTTACCTGGGGTCACAGCTACCACATAGTAGTTGAAGCTCTATCACTAGAACTGCCTATAAGTCTTCTATTTTATGTCTATGGCTATCTCATATCAAGGCAACAGCAACAAATGTCATCCACTGGAGTTAGTGTGAAATGAACATGTTCTAAGACTGTTAAACCAGGCATTACACACTGATTCTAGATTATACCAACATGCATTTGTTTATAAATTGCATTCATATGATTCTTTAGTTATTTCCTATTAAAATTGTCTTTTTTTCTTATTTAGCAAATACCCTTTTACATTTTTTCCCTATAACATAGTGCCTAAGATAAAACTATACATGTGAAAAGTACTCAAATGTTGGTTGGAATGAATAAATATAAAGAAGCACCCTTACTTCATTAACTGCAATATAGGATCCTGCTGGTGACCATTTCTCTTCATTTGACATTCAGTAAGTGACATTAATTAAAATTTTCATAAGTTTAAGAAATTTGACATGTAGTGTTTTTGGAAAGTTGGAAACTACCAGCCATAGGAAAGTCTAGACATGGTCACTAACAATAGTTAATTATACTCCCAATGAATTGGATTAGGGTATTGTTTTTCTCATTCCAGAGATTACAAAATACAGAAAGTATGCATAAGAGTTTGCAATAAAGAATTTGGGTTAATTTTACTTTTATTGTACATATGTTCTATTTAACTGTCATGCATTTGTTTACATTTTCCTTGAAATTATTTTTTTATTGGGAGGGAGAAAGAGAGAGAAAGAGAGAGAGACATCAATGTGAAAGGGATACATCGAGTGGCTGCTTCCTCCCGCATGGGCCCTGACCCAATCGGTGCCGGGGACAAACTGCAACCAAGGTACATGCCCTTAGCAGGAACCGAACCCCGGTCTCTCTGGACTGCAGGCTGATGCTCTAACCTCTGAGCCAAACTGGCCAGGGCCAAAGATGCTCATTTTTGAATGAATGGATGGCTGATGACAGCAAGGGGTAGAGATGGGGGCCAATGTCTGCAGAAAGACGGCATCAGATCAGGGACTTGGAATTATTCTTCAGTTTCATAAATAAGACGACTCTGCTTTCCACTATGATTTAAATCTATTCTAGGGTATAAATCATATAACTTATATCAGTATTTCTCAGACTTTAGGATACTTCATAATTATCTGAGAAGTTTGTTTTAAAAATGTAGAAAATCCCCAGTCCAACCTTCAGAGATTATGATTTGATAAGTATCCAGGCATTTGCCAGTTTTGACTAACCAGTATTTAACTCTACTTCCCGTTTTCATCCTAATTTCCTTTTAGAGGAATCGACCTTTGCATCCAGTATTAGGAAGAGTCATCTGGGCCTGGGCCTTAGGCCCCATCATTTGAAGGTTCTTTTTGAGAACTTTTTTAGTCTAGAGTTGTGATGCAATGACAAGTTAGAACTAGGGATAGTTATAGTGTCATTCCTATACTATGTCTTTGTGGTTTCACTAAAGCTTTCTTGGTTCTAATCTCTGGTCAATTCTGTGAACCCCTGATATCCTTCCAGGCAGTTCCTTCTTTGTCTAAGGTAGGCCAAGTCGGTTTCTGTTGCTTGCAACAGGGAGTTAGTTATAACCAATATAGAAGATCTATACTAGTGAGATACAGGAATATATATATATATATATATATATATATATATATTTTATCCTCACCGGAGGACATTTTTCCACTTTTTGTTCAGATAGAGTGGGAGGGAGAGAGAGAAAGAGAGAGAGAGAAACAGCGATGTGAAAGGGACACATCGAGTGGCTGCCACCCGCAAGACCAGCCAGGGCTGGAGACAAACTGCAACTGAGGTACATGTCCTTAGCGGGAACCGAACCCGGGTCTCTCTGGACCACAGGCCGATGCTCTAACCGCTTAGCCAAACCGGCCAGGGCAAGAGGAACATATATTTTTAGCAAGTTCTCCAGGTGATTCAAATGCAATGGGTCCTCAAACTACACTTTGAGAAATATTCTAGTATATATATATATATATATATATATATATATATATATATATATATATATGAGATACCATGGTATTCATGTAGAAGATACTCAGTAAATACTTGCTGGATAAGTGGATGGATAGATGATGGATTCCTTCTAAAGTAGCCTGACCTCAGGTCTACTAATGCTAGACTTTTGTAAAATAAATGTAAGGATACATAAAATTTAAAAACAATTTTTTTCTTTATTAATTTTAGAGAGAGAGGAAGGGAGAGGGAGAGATAGAAACATCGATGAGAGAGAACATCGATTGGCTGCCTTCTGCATGTCCCCCACTGGGGATTTGGCCCACAACCTGGGCAAGTGCCATGACCAGGAATTGAACCAGTGACCTCTTGGTGCATTGGTGGATGCTCAACCACTGAGCCACACCGGCCAGGCAAGACATGACATTTTATAGGTGTGGCCATAGGTTTTTGTTTGGCTTTTGCTTTTATTTTTCTTTCTGGATTATGGCAGAAATCTTTGATATCTTGTATATTTCTTCAGTATTTTATATACCAAAGGAAAAAACAAAAACCATAAAAGCAGCTAATTAAGTTGAAAAGTATGCCAGTAACTAATGGAATTTTTCATGACATTGACCTTGAAAAATTCTTCTTCAAAAGTTGGAGCAAAGGCCATGCTATGATTAGTCTTTTTTTGTAGGACTTTTCCATTCATGGCTTCATCAATGTTCTAAGAAGTACTTCTAAGTACTAGTGATAAATCTTTGTAAGAATTTTCTTTCATGTAAGGATAGAGCCCTCTTTATTACGTATTGGTAATGTGGATAAGTACTCGTGCACCCTAAGGACCAAGGCTTAATTGACATTAACATATCTTTGGAGTAGTTTGGCTCCCCACGACTAATTGCTCAAGTTTTTTAGTTTGAGAGGCAGTATAACTGGCCCAGAACTTGGACACAGAATTTGAGTCTTGGTTCTGCAACAATCTAGTTACAATTGTGGATTTATTTTTCTGTCTTCTCCCACTACTTGGATAGGGATCAAGTTTTATTTGCCTTCTTATCCTTACCACTTGTCACATACTTACCACTTAATGGAGCTTGAATAAATTCCTAAAACCTTGGGCAACTCACAATATTCCTGGATTTCAGATATGTCACTTGTAAAATAGGCTGGTTATTCTCTAACATTATTTTCAGGTTTGACATCCTGTGATTATATGATCTGTGTATCCTGAAACCAACTTCCCTAAGCAATTTTTCTTGTTCGGGGCATTGAGAAATGGCATTGCATCACTTGCTTTGTTGTAAGTGGCTTCCTCGTCTCTGAGTCATTCTTACTGAAAACAGTTTCAAAGAGCCTGCAGTATTGCTATATATTTAGTGGAGAACAACTTGGAGAATTGCCCATTCAACATTTACTTTTACAGTCTGGAGCAGAGTTCTCTGCTCCATGAAGACTGCTGGGATATCTCGCATAGCTTCTTAGAGACATCTTCCATCTCAAGGAGTTTGATAATTATCTGGTTAGATTGACTTGACTACATTTCAGCAAATTTATTGGTCAGGGTATCTATCCATCTACAACCTACTACAGCTTTTCTTTTCCCCTTTATAGTAAAGAGAGTTTTGCTTGAAGAATCATAAACATGAGGGTTGAATCACAACATCAATATTATAGAAGATTAGAGTGGGAAGGACTTGAGGTTTGTTGTAGCTGCCTGAGTGGGGTATAGTGGGTGGGGGTATCCCATTAGGCAGGTCTCTCTGAGGTGTCCTCATTCCAGCTTTAACCAGCTCAAGAGCAAACCTGCTTTTGTCCACTTTACATGGTGATCTTTCAAATAAGCTTATTTAAAATTTTTTTCTGCTGTTAAATAAAATTTTGACCTACCAATCTAGTCTAACTTGTCATTTACAGATAAAGAGGCTAAAAGGATAAGGCATTTGCTCTTAAATCTTAGAAGACACTCAGTAAACACTTGCTGGATAGTTTTCTTTCTGCAAGAGTCTTAAGAGGTCACTGAAAGATCTAGACTGGTTCTAAATTTTCAAAAGAATTGTCACAAGTAGATCTGGAGGTACAGGTGAAAAAAACCTGCAGTAGGAGAAAGTTTAACTTTATAATTTACAAAGCACTAAACATAATTTCATTGATCTTCACAACAGACTTGTGAGGCAAGAAGTGCAGGTATTATCAATGCCAATTTACAGATGAGAAAACTAACAATGGACAAGGTCAAGTGGCATACACAAGGTCGAAAGTGTTAGGGTCTGGCCTAGGGTTCAAGCCTTCAGACCATGAACCTAGTGCTTTTTGTATTACACCACACTGCAGAATAAAGAAAAACTCACAACAAATAAATGTGTCAATATATCTTAAGAGATACAAGAGAGTCGGTAGTGGGTAGAGTATAGCATACATTCTGGTGCCTGAGGATATGATTTGGCAATTGTGTGCATTTCCCCAATGTCATCCTGTGCTGCCTTTGCTCACAGTCTGAGTCATCCACATTGTTTCCATTGGGGGAACATCTGAGCACACGTTCCAAGTGCTATTTTAGCAATATCAATTTGCTAATTATAAAGACAAAATTATCTTATAAGATCATAAGAAAACCTGCCTTTTGGTTTTGTCAGGCTTTTTGTTCCTGCTGGCTAAAAATCTTTTGGTATTTCTTATAAGAATTTACTTACCAAAATGCTCAATGTGAACTTAGGTAAGTTTTTCTATGTGCTAAAGTCTAACTTTTTCTTTTATTTTCTTTTCTCCTCCCATTCCCTACTATTATCTACCTCACTAATAATTATACACTATTGAAAATGTAAAATACCTTTTCAAGGGTAAAAAGAAAATTTAAAAAGAAATAAATGTACAATTTTATGACATAGGATGCAATACAATAATAATAGATTGAAACATTTTAGAGATTAGATTGTGAAAATGAGAGAGAATTTGAAAAAACAAACAAACTAGATTTCTGGGGAAACAGCTGTGTGGTACTTTAAAAGGTAATGTATAAACCAGTTTGAAGTTTGAGGGTAAAGCTCACATTTGGTGAGTACCTTTCTTGGTACTCTAGGAAAAGTTCTAGGGTCCTGACGTCATAAAAATTAATGAACTGTGTGAAATGCAGGGGAATAATTTAAGCTAATTTCATTGTACATAAAACTCAGAATATTTAGTCCAATTTGGAAGAGTATAAGCTTATTTTTTGAAAAAAAAATTGTTACTGCATTCATAAGCTAGGGTTAATTAAAAGTTTCCTCTTTTTGAAGAAGTTGCTTAGGTATCTTTGGTTTCTTTGGGCAGAATGAAAAATAGGATAATATTTGGGGTGGGGAGTAGAAAAAGAAGATGCTCATGGAGCTAAGGCTAGATCTCTCTCTTTACTTGGCCCTATATAGAACAATATATGAGGACCTGAATAGATCCTTATATCTCTTGGTAGTGGGTACAAATGAGAAAGATGGAAAGATGCAAAAAACAATGGCTAAAATATAATGTAAATTCATTTCTGTCTTACATAAACGAAGTCTGAAAGTAAACAGTCCAGGGTTGGTAAGGCAGATCTAGAAGCACCAAGGACACAGACTCTTTTTTAACCTCTTGTTCCATCACCCTCAACATGTGGCTTCTACCTAGTGACCCAGAATCATTGCTGGAGCTTCAGCCATTATGTTTTATTTTCAGCCCAAATAAAGGAGATAGAAATAAAGAAGGCTGCATGCTCTCTCTCTAAGTCTTCCGGGAAATCCCAAAAGACAATTCTGTTAACATATCATTGATTAGAACTAGTCACGTGAATATACCTAACTGCAAACAAAGCTCTTCTTCTTCTTCTTCTTTTTTTTTTTAATTTCTCTTTTTGAATGGCTGTAAGCCCAGCTAAAGTCAAGGTTCCATCACCAAGTAAGGATGGGAGAGTGGATATTTGGGATTGTGTATGATGTAAGTCTTTTCCCACCACCATTTTGGTTAGCAGTTGCCAACCACTTGGGCTTGTGCTGCATTGGTTTGCATGAAATCCCCTTATTTCCCCAATCTAGACTAAAGTGTAAATAAATAGCTGCTCTGGTACAGGAGAAGAGTTTATTTTTTTCTCTACAGTTTACTGGGTAATGCATCTTAATATGTTCAGTACTAGATCAGTTGCTCCTTGTGGAACGCCAAAAGAACCGAAACTCAATACAATTCTATGGTATCACTATATCTTTGAGTATACAAACCTAAATTTAAATATTATTTAAAATGGAATATGGGCCAGATAACCATATTCCAAGCTGGTATGAACCTGTGTACCATGAGATTCTTTCTGAGGAAAAAAAAGAAAAAAGCTCTATACAGTTAAAATCTAAACAAGGCAAACATCTCCAGACATCCTGATCCAGCAAAGATCATGGAAATAATAGTGGAAGCTGGAAAGAATTTGAATAAACCCAGTCTTCATTTCAAAAAGATTCATGAGAGAATCAAGGTCCATATGCCACTATTAAAAATGTCAAAGCAATAACTAAGGGTAAAGAGATGAGAACGTCAAAAATTATTATTTAATCATATAAAACTTTGTTACATGAAATAGAGGGAGTGCTAAATCTATTCAATCTATCTGAGACTGTCAATTCACAAAATGTTATGTTCTTAATTTTCCTAGCTTG